AGACACTGCTGGCATATGATGCCCTTAAATTCCACATTTACCTCGAAATCAAACCAGTTTTTATAAAGTTCTCATCATATAGCTAGAATACCCACATGAGAAACAAAAGGAGTCAGAGAGGAACATTTCTGTCTAAAGAACTAATAGGATTAGTTTTAAAGAGGGGAGAGAGATTTAAAAAGCTGCAAATTTTTCTCAGTTGATATTATAGAAGAACACTTGTGGGGCTACAAGTTCAAGTCCAGACAGACCCACTTGGGAGGCCCTATCTCTGTGCTGTTAAGTCACACAGGAGTCTTTGTCCACAAGAGAGAGCAACTGGGTGAAAACAATGGGGTCGATGAGAGCAAGTCCAGAGCCCGCTTGGGGGATGGGAGAGGGTTACTTCAAAGAGCAAGATTTTCTGTAGGTTGGCTCAGTGGCCTTGTCTTAGTGAAACTGGGTTGTTCTCAAGTTTTCACGAACAAGAAATATCTAGGATCATTAAAAAAAAAAAATACATCTGCATAACGGCCATGCACCTGTGGTACCAGTCATGCAAGAACACCGGCTCCTGAAGGGCCTTGCGGTATGGCTCCCTGGGCCCCGCTGGAATACATAAACTGCCTGTCATAAGAGACCTAAGCTATCTGAACAGGGGACAACAACAGTGCCCAGTTATTCTCATTGTGATCCTTTCCCAGCTTTGTAGCAGAACAATTGAGAATGAACCCAACAGAAGAGTCGGGGGGCTCTATGGAATTTTCCCATGCTTTCTTCTGACACCCACATTCAGATCTGAGATAGAATGTGCATCCTAAGAGCTGATGTCTCCTGCGTTTGAGGTAAAGAGGGAAATTTACTACACTTAGCTTCAAAAAGGGTACAACTTAGATTAGAAAATTTGAAGTAATTTGTCAGTAAATCACACAAAATAGCTCCTTGCACTGAAGTTAAAAGACACACTGCCTTAAAAATCTTGCTCAAAACACAAGCCATGGTCTCTTCTACCCTTGAATTAATTATTATTTCTGTGATTGTTTTCAAAGCTGCACAGGAATGTGATGTACAGCGATTTAAGTATAAGCTTACTGATTAGACATATCTACCTGGGTTCCTTAATTTCAGATGTCAGCAATGATAGATGTAAAAAAAAAAAAAAAAAAAAAAGAATCAAACTGTAGCTGTTTGTAAGCAAATACAAACATGGGAGGAGATTACAACAAAGATACAATAGGTATAATTCTGCCCATCAGAAGTCCAAATGTTGATCCCCTGAAAGTGAAAACCACACACTAGAACTCAAAGCCTAATGAGCTGTTTTAAGTAAGGAAGAAAAAAAAAAAGAAAAAAGAAAAGAAAAAGAAAAAGAAAACCCCTGAAACATTTTAATAGCAATGTCTAATAGTAGAAATAAGAAAGATGAAGTGCAAACATCTTCCTTTCCCACCTCCAGCCTATCCTCAGAAAGATCACAAAGAAGCACACATGCAGCCAGCCAGCAGCCAGCCAGCAGCCAGGCTGGCCAGGTGCTGTGGTTGGTAGAACCCAGCTGCAGCATTTGTCGTTTCCTGCACTAAGCCTGCTGCTTCTCCCTCCCCTGGCAGCTGAGGAGAAATGAGATGTTTCTCTTCAAAGGTGTTAAACATTTGGGCTGTGAGAGGGACAAATGGAAGCCTGACACCTCAGACGAATAACCGCAGTGCCCCGGGGCCAATGGGAACTTTCGCTGTGTGTACAGCCAGCCGGGCGCTGCTCCCACGGTGGCTCAGGCACAGGAGCACAGGGACCCCACCGAGGAGGAAACAAACTATTCTCTTTTTCTTTTAATATTAACCGTTACCGTTTGCCGACAGGGACTTTCATAAAGAAGGCTCAGAGAAAGAATGGTTGGGGGGTAGAAGGGGGATGCTTTTAATACACTCGCCAGGCTCTTTGCTAGGACACATTTAACAGGCTTCTGCATCCTCGCCCTCTCTGTGAAGGCAGCCAGGGTTTACTGTGCTTCCAGAACTCACACTGACACCAAATGCGTTGTCAGTGCAGGTACTTTCTCCTTAGGTCCGTTTTTGTCTGAAGTAGGAATTCTTATTTGAAATTTTGCGAGACATCCCATTTGTAAGCTTTCTGGTATAGACACACCTCTAAGAATTCCAGTTTTGGATGGATATAATTAAGCCATTAACATTTTCCTTCTTGAAGGAAAAAAAGAAGAAAAAAAAAAAAAGCGGGATTGGAGAAGGTGGTTCTCCTGAGCAGATAATACCACACTCAGGTCATACGTAAAAACTCGGCAATCGTACACGGTGTCAGTGTTTGGGGGGGGGAGAGGAAAAGCATGCAGAATTGTTAGAATGAGCTACCAGCAGAAACATCTCTGCGTGCCAGTGGCCCTAAACTGCCATTCTCTGGATTACCTGCAGTTACTACAAATGAAAGATTCTGTGTGGGGAAAGGGGCCTCTGGGCCTTCCCCCACCCCCAGATGTGTTTCTAGTTCTAACACCTGCAGGCTTAAAGTGCAGTAAACAAGCAGCTGTTTATAATGCAAATTCAAGTAACTGGGATGCCTATGGGCTTCTCCCACCTTAAGCCCAAACCCAAATGGTTACCCTGCTTCTGGACACCCCAGGTAAAAACCTATGGCTGTGGGTGTCAGTTACACAAACGCTGGCTAGCTCGCCCTGCTAAGGACTGAGTTAGCGAGGAGGCAGAAGTGTGGTTAAGGGTGAAGGAGAGAGGCTGCCTTCTGGTTGAAGTGTTCTGGGTCTCAGACACCTTAAAAACAGCTGGTAGGTATTAAAAACCCAAGATTGCAACTCGCTTCGGTTGAACCTTAAACAACAACAACAAAAAATTGGACATAGCCTTGTGGTTAAAACTGAAAAGCTTCTGGAACTGTGCAAACTGCAGGAATATCTGCAAGAGAGCGAGCCTAAAATGATATGTCTAAAACGTAACAGAATAAAGCAAAGCAGCAGATAACAGGGTGAAGTAACTGCTCCTGACCATACCCCTCTCTTCCAGGCCACACCAACCAACCTTGATTCTGGCCACAAATCTTTCCTAAACAACGAAGGGCTGTTCGAGGTACTGACCTCAAAATTTGAATGCGTACACTAACAATAAACACCGTCCATTTTCTGTTCAAAATTTCAAAATGATTAATATGGAGGGGGAGAGCAAAAGCTGGAGAGAAATGGTGAAGGCAGAAAATTCTGATTGAAAGGGGAAGAGAAGCTTACTTTTCAATATTAATAGGGATCATTTATAAATACCATTAGATTTTTTTTTCTTATATTGGCTTTAAAGATTATTTTGAAAGGAGAGGTAGCTAACCTATGGAACAAATCTCACCGATACTTATTAAGCATTAACTGTGGGTGGCTGAAAAGTATTTTCTATTGTTTAACAAGTCGGAGACTGTAATCTAGATTTGTGAGAAAGATTATTTGCTGTTCCAAAAAGCATTTCAACAGAAATCTTCAATTATTCCTTATCTAAATCATATTCTCCACCCCTTCATAAAAACCAAACAAGACAAAATATCCCAACTATAAAAGGAATATCTGATATGTTTGCATGTTCAGTTCAACAAATATAAAGTCTCCTACAAACTTTAAAACTTAGAGAGGCATTTATTTGGCAGTGGTCTCTAAATATTAAACTGTATTTGTTTTTTATGCGTTCATTCACTTTTTAGGTACTAGGAGATTCTTATTTACCACACAAGAATCTCTCATTAAATATTTAAAAAGCCTTTTAAAATAAAATGTGAAATTGCTATTTCAACCATCACAAGATCCCCAAGGTCACAATTTTAGCCGAGATATAAAAATTAGAAAAATCTTAATCCCTACTAGAAAGGTCAAGTGTGTTTTTGAAATCTATGAAAGAAGAATGACACTAACTTCTAAATCACAGTGCCCACATAAAATAGTTCTGTTTCACATACCTATCATGTCAACAATTGAGTGCTGTGGATAATAAAAATAAACACTTGTATTCCTCACCCTGAGTCATTCCTCTCTGCTATTTTGGTGAATCTTTTCGACCCCAGATTCTGCTCACTGAGGGATTAATGACAGTACTTTCCCCAAATGTCTGTGACTGACTTTTTTCACTTAGTGGAAGAACCGGGCTAATAAGGCAAAAACGATAGGATGCCTTTTCATGATCAAGATCTCACTCCAAGGAGAAACAGGTAGACTGAAACTCTAATCTCCAAGGCCCAGGCATACATGCTTTTCGTAGCCTTTTAGGTGGGAGAGGGAGAAGGAGAGGGAATGAAGGGAAATATGGTGAGGGAGCACTAAACACCAATCCCCAAGCCACAGGGGGAGCACAATCAGCAGCACATCTCATGTTCACACCTCACACAAGTTACCCTTTTCATGCTCTCTAATACAGAGATGAGGGAGGTTTCCCCTACTCAGCAACAGAGAAATACTGTCAAGTACAGATCTGGACTTCTTCATGGCACTATACATTTGCAACAATGGACAGTAGAGTAAAAATAGCTTGTGCAGCTGATTTTAAAAGAAACATTAGCTAATATAATAAAAAGAGGACTCTGTTTTAGAAGCTAAGGATTTTGAATATTCAGCTTCAATGAGCCAAAGTGTTCTGATTCTACATAGCTTAAGGGCAAGATAGATACAGCATGTGGCTAACTGAAAGAGTAAATCATTTTTTTTTTCTTCTCATCAGCACAGAAAACACAATACTACTCATAAAATTATAAGTTTGTTGACTTCACTTGATTTCATGACAATTGGTAATCTGTTATTTATTAATCTTAACCAATAAAAAGCTAAAATTCCAAATGCAAGACATCAAAATTAGCACAATTTTAAGGCAGCCATTCCTCATAACAGGTCTTAGCAATGACTGGTCACATATAATGAAAGCATCTCTAACGTGTTTAAAAAACACACACACACACAAAAACATTTTTTTCCCCCAAAATATAAATTCATGTGCTCTTCTGAAAATAATTTGTAACATCAGCATGTTACTCACTGTTCTCGGAATGGGTGGAGAGAGAGATCCATTGGACATGTATGGGTCATTATTCATATTTGGCATCATTATGTACCCGGAATAACTCGAGTAGGAGGGTCCCTTGTTGTAGAGGCCTCCGTCTGGATGCTTTCCTGAGAGAATCCAAAGAACAATTGATGATGCACTGGCTTCCTTTTTTATATATCACTGTCTTTTATCTGAGAAATCAACTAGTTCTATGACAAATGGGACCTTACATAAGAGTTGTTTACAAAATATTGTAACTGAATTATTATGCTCTATTTTAGATTGACAGTATTTATTCTCTTAAATGAAATTAGCAGTGAACCAGATGTTTTAAAAAACATGTGGTTCAATTTATTTCCACTACTGACGGGTGTTTTTACAAAAATAAGTGTTATCCATCTAACTTAATTTGTTCTATACTAACAAACTGGACTAAGAAATAGAAACACATGAAAGAACACACACAAATCTAAAGCTACAATATAAACATATTAGGCCATTTAGCCATTCACACGCATATACATTTATACACTTAAAGTTACAGTCCATCTTATAGGCAAACTTGTAGATCCTACCTGTGCTTCCAGATTTCTAGAAAATTTCTAGGTTTTACGGAAGGAGGGAGTTGTAACTAGTATATGGACAACAACCCCAATTTATGAAGGATTAACTCCAGGAGACTTAATTTTATGTGCTACACTTCCATCATTTTGCCAAAGTAATTTGCATGTGTTCAGTATATACATTTCTTCCCTTTAATCTGTGTAACTACTTTGTAGCTCAGAAGGAAGCCTGATATTATAGTTCTCTTCCCTTCTCCTCTGGGTTGACATATTATACATACAAACACTTCGTTCTGGTCAGGCCAATTGTAAATAATTAAAGGAGAACAGAAAAGCCGACTGTCCAACAAGGAAACCTTATAGATGCCTTAATTCTTTTAAAGTCACATGGAGTTCTCCTCAAATCTAAAAAATATATACAATTTTTAAATTTTGAGCAAGAATCAGATATAGGGAGGAAGCCTGACTGTCATGTTTCATATGCATAGTTCCTAATTTTACAAATGAAAGTTTTATATTTTTGCAAGTTAGATTCTGCTTCACTGAGCCATATTTTTAGTCCATGCATTCTCTGCCTGCCTTCTCACTGTAAATAGAAACAGCAATTTAACAAATGAAAATCCTTTTGAAACTATTCATGTTGGTAAATAAATTGGTGTAGACTGTTACTATAAAAATTCGGGGGGGGGGGGAGGGAATTGCTAAAGGTCTAAGCCAATTACAACTTTAGGTAAAATGAAGAAAAGAGGCAAACTCATTATTTCCTCTTCCACAATGAATTTAGAAGCCAAATGAAATCCAAAGTGCCCTAACTTATTCAAAGGCAGTTTTAAAATTCCATAAATATACCTTAAAGATAAGCATTAAGTTTCCTGGGTTTTCTTTCCCATTTTGTTAAAATAGTGGGCAAAGTCTTATCGCATCTGATTCTGGATTGTTGTTTTTTGTTGTTTTTCAACTCAAAATAGCAAAACATACCCACATTCACAAACTGCACTTGCTAAAGGATAAAGTTGAAAGAAGCAGAGTTAGGTCTTACCGTCATCTGGGTGTTCTCTGGCCTTGTCATGGTAGGGTTCCTGCGAGGTTTGTGCTTGTCTGGCCACCTAACAGCATGAATCCCCATCCCCAAAAGAAAGAAAAGTCACCTTAGAGTTTGTGACAACACTGACATAAGTGTGCCTCCACTGGTGCAACTCAATCACCTGTTTTATCCATCTAAGAGGTGGAGGCTAGGATTGAGTATTGGGAAATCTTTTTCTTTTCAACACATATTTCGGAATCATTATTATCTACGGAGGAGGACTACAAAGAGTGTAAGTAATCAGAGGAAAAACAATACCAACATAGTAAATGTGGGAAAGATCCAAACGCTGTTCTGACTGATGTTTGCTAAAATGCATGAAGGCTGCTGGGATGCCTAATATGATAGAAGTGAGTTAATGGGGTTGATCGTTTTGATAGTTTCTTCAACCACTGTTGATTTCCATCAGAGCTGATTAAAAGCTGGCTGAAATGTCACTTTACAGCTGAAAATGACATTTTAAATAAAGGCAAATCAACCTCTCGCAGATGGGGGCTTAAGGCTGTGGTCCCAAGCTGGGGCCAGCAGGAGCTCCACTCCGCATCACCTACCATGGCTGGCTGAGTGCGAGCTTACCAGAGAAAAGTGAACTGCTCTGTGGTTAAAGAAAGGAAGACTTGAGAGTCGGGTTATAGACATCTAAAAGGGAGCCCCGCTAATATCAGTTCTGGTAACCACCATCCACCCAGGCTCAACCACGTGCAAATCAGTGTTATCACCCCCTTCACCATCTTCCTTGGGACTGCCCCATGCCCATTTACCACCAGACAAACACTGACAGAGCCCTAAAACCTGGAGTCTGGGCTTCAAATGCAACAGAAAAAAAAAAAGTGAAATGGTGGCAAATTTATTTATGGAAAAAGGACCGACAGCAAAATGGGTAGGAAGAAACAGAGGCTCTCTACAATAAGAGAGTTTAGCCTGAGTGTTTTTAGTTGTTATTTGGTTCTTTGGATGTGTGTTCCCCACCAATGACTTCTTCCCCCTCCATATATACGCAGTCACAAACCACTTAAATGGGGGTGGGAGCACCCCAACTCCCTCCCCTCCACCACGAGGTTCCATTCAAATTGGCATAATGGGATGAAAGATTCAGAGAATAAGGATATCTTATATATTCTCCTCAGACCTCAGCCCCCCAGCCTTCAACATGAGTACTCACCCCTGCCATTGGGATAAAGAAGGTAATAACTCTGAGGTGTTCTTAAACCCGTGTGTTTAAAACCCCAACATGCCCCCGCCCCCAAAACCACACGCTTTCTCTTTGGGGGCAGAAGGATGCCATTTAAGGGAAAAGGGTATAACCTCCAAGTTTCTGTGGAGGGGAAAAAATCGTTGGTGAAATCATCTGAGTGTCAGAACTTTTCTACCGGATTTCCTCCAAAGCGTTTCCCAGCTGTTGAACCAGGGTGGCCAGCGGGGTGTCGGGTGTCAGGGTCCATCCGCCCACCCCACCCCCCTGAAAGCTGAAGCTTTTCGCGCTGGCCTGAAATAGCCCTTCCGCGGGGTCCCTGCTCCGGGCTTTCTCCCGCAGGCACCCACGTGGCTCTATTTACTCTGCTCGGGTTACTGGCGGCGAAGGCCCGGAGATCTGATAGATAAAGCGCTCTCCACCGCGGTCCCCGGGGCGGGCGCCCTGGCTTCCGCCGCACCTCTACTCTCACTCGCCAGTCTTCGGTGTAGATTGAAGGCCTGATCGGGGGCCCAAACGAACCCCAAAGAGAAGCGTCTTGGGTTTTTGTTTTTTTAAGTGATGATGGGGGTTGGAGAAAACCGGTGTGGCGGGAGGTACTGCAAGGGGTGCGGTTCGGTTCTGCGCGCCCAGGGCTCGGGGCAACAGGACCCAGCCCCGCACCCCCCCCCCCCCGGCACCCGCCCCGGGGGCTCCGTGAGTCCAACTCGGCGGCAGTTGGGCCGCCACCACCCCCCTCACACCCCCCAGCACCGGTCCCCAGTCCCTGGCCCCCGGTCCCCGGTCCCCGGTCCCCGGCCCACGCCCGCCTCCCCTTCCTCTCCGCCTGCGGCTCTGCTCCTCTCCGCCAGAGCCTTCGGCGGTTTAACGCACTTGTGCAGAGAGATGCACCGAGATAGCGGGCGCGCTCAGCTTTCCGTCCTACGGAGAACTCTGAGCTCAGACATCCTCGCTTTGCAGCATCGCACCCTCCTCTCCGCGCCAAGCAAGAGCCCGAAGGCCGAACCAACGTGCCCAAGGCCAGCTCCTCCCCCGCAAGCCAGCGGTTCGGCCACCGAACCCCAGCGGATCATCCACCTGGAGTAAGTGTCCCCGCACGGACCGCCGCCTCCCGCCCGACACGCGCGCGCACTCACACACACACACACACACACACACACACACACACACACAAACTCACACACACACACACACACACACACACACACACACACACACAAAGGAAGGAGGAAGGCTGGCCGGGGCTCACCCAGCCCCCAGCGAGCACGAGGGACCCACGAGGGACCGTCTCCCGGCGCCCGCCCTGCCTGCCTCCCCGGCGCCCCGCGCCGCCCCGGGACCCGCCACCCCTCTGGGCGCCCGGGCGGGCGGCGGCCCACTGACCTCGTGCCCGTTGCCGGCCGGGATGATTTCGGACTCGTTGACCAAGGAGGACTTGATGTCGGCTAAGTCGCCTTCCTCCTCGGGGTGACTGATCTCGGCGAAGATCTTCTCCTTCTGGGGGTCGCCCTCGTCCTTGAAGGGGATCATCTCATCCGTGGCGCAGAGTTCCGGGTCCCCCCCGCCGCCGCCGGCCCCGGAGAGTTGGGGCATCCCGACCGCTCGGTAATCTCCGCTCTGCCGGGGGAGCACCCGAGGCGACAGCAGGAAGAGAGGGGGTCAACGACAGGGGGTGGGGGGGTTGGAAGGATGCTCGAGGTAAGGGAGTGGGGCGGAAGCGGGGCCGGCAAACGCGGGGCCGGAGGCCCGCAGTCCCGCGGCCGCCCGCGCCTTCCCGCTCCGCCGAGTCCGGCGGGCCCCGGGCAGCGAGGCCGCCGCCGCTGGCGCCTCTGGGGGCGGCGGGCGCTCTAGGCTGGGCTGCCCGGGCGGCCGCCCCACGCCCCCGGCGGACGCGCGCCCAGGACGCGGGCTCCGGAGCGGGCAGGGCTCTCCAAAGCGCGGAGCGGGGTCCGACGGGCGTGCCTCCGCGCAGACCTCTCCACTCTGGCTCCCCCGGATGCCGAATGGGGAGCTGGTTTTCCTCCGAGGAAAGAGGAGAGCCGGGCACAAAAAGGCTCCTCCGTTTGCCTTAGCGGAGAAGGTGCCAGGAGAATCAGAAAATAACGAAATGTCCACTTCCTGGAAGGTTTCAAAAAAAGTAAAAATAAAGAGCCAGCCGGGTTGGAGATGTCCGCTTTGGAGCTTCTAATTTCCTTCTCTTTGGCTTGAATGTTCCTTCTCCAGGCGCGTTTAATCTGCTGGAGGAGGAGGAGGAGGAGGGAGGGAGGGAGGAGAAAGGGGAGGAGGAGGGGGAGGATAAGAGGAAAAGAAAGAAGTTTGCCAAGAATAAAGTTTGTGCGCCGAGTGCCCGGAGTCGGCGGCGGCGGAGGGCACGGCGGGGTCTAGGGAAGTCCCAGCGGGGTCCTCTGGAACCCAAAAGCTTCTGCCCGAAGCGGAGCCGACACTCACACACACGCACACGCAGAGCCCGACCCCTCTTTGTTCCCGGCTCGAATTTCTCAGCCTGGCTCGCCGGCGGTCTCGCTCGCCGCTCTCCACGCCTCCTCGGGGCAGCTCTGTCAAAGGAAGGAGCTGCGCCCCTCGGGCTCTCCGGGCCAAGGGGAGGGGAGCCCCCCGAGCTGGACCGCGTGCGAGGCTGCGGCGCGTCCCGGCCCTCCGGCCCGAGTGCGTGCGTGCGGCCCGGGTCCCTCCCCCGCGCCCGGCCCCGCAGGTGAGCGGCCGCGCCTCCCGCCGCCTCTCCTCCTCCCGCGCCTCGCCGGCGCTGAAAAGCTACCCATTTGCGTCGCTTCTCCTCCCTCTCTTCCCCCGCCTCCAGCTCTCCTTGGCTGCCCGCTGGGCGGGCGGGAGGAGGGGGACCGCGAGTTGGAAGTGGTGATTGAGGACTTTTTTTTTTTCCCTTTCCTTTTCCCAGAGCCTGTAGGACCAGTCCTAGTTTGGGGGTGTATGTGTGTGAGTGTGTGAGTGTGTGTGTGTGTGTGTGTGTGTGTGTGTGTGTGTGTGTGTGTGTATGTGTGTGTGTGTGCGCGCGCGCGCTCCTGGAGAGAAGGATCAGGCAATTTGGCGAGGGAAGGAGGGACCGGGCGCTTCTTATAACCCACTGAGAGGCACGCTCTGCCCGCGTGAAATTGACAAGAAACTGCCCGAGTGGTTTAACTTCATCATCTTAAGTATCTCTTCTCTCGTCTACCCCCCCTCCTTTGCCAGCCTCACCCCCACCTCCTTTCCGCCTACCCGCTCCCCCCCCCCTCCCGCCCCAACCCGCCCGCCCGCCGCCCTGCAAGGGGAGGAAGATGAAAGGGAAGCCGCCGCCGCTGTGATCGACACCACATTGATAGATGCTCTGGCCGAGCGGATGAGGCGGGAATCAGGGACAGAGGAGAAGGGAAATATAACAGACATTGCTCAACCGTAATAAGAGAGAATGGAAACAAGAAGGACAAGGAAGAGTTGTGGCTCTCCTAAATATAATGTCCAAGGGCTTAGGAAGCACATACTTACCTAGAATAATAGGACCAGGAAGAAAAAAAGAAAGAAAAAAAAGAAGAGGACCCGCATTATCGCTTTTTAAACAAGATCTCTTCCATGACAGCCTCACCTAGAGAGTTATGCCAGATCTTCCGTGGATTTTGGGAGATACACACCACAATGTGCGAGAACCTCTTGAGGAGGGTGCAAAAACAACCCGAGGAGGAGGAGGAAGAGAAGGCAAAGGGACCCAAGAGAGTGAGGCCAGTGGAGGGAGAGAGGAGCTGGCAGTCTTTGGCACCTCGGACCGCCGGCTCAAAGGGACCCTTGAAGACGCAAATCTGAATCCAACCTCAAAAATTCTCCAGCCTCCACCCGTCTCTTTGATGCGTTTTATACAACGACAGGACTTAAGATGTTTTGTGAACGTTATAGTATAAGCTAAGTTGAAGTTGAAAAGCACATTACATGTTGTTCCTTGGCTGTCAAACCCCTTCAGTTAAAAATCCAGGCAAAATTATTATACCCAATGCAGTAACCATCTGTAAAACCTCAGAACAGTAAACAGGGAGCAGGAAGAAATGTGTCTCCATCACCCTTAAATTGAAAATAAGGAAAGCTCTACAGAATCAGCCTTTAGCTTTATGGTACAGCAACCATCAGGCAAAGATCCTTCTTTTCCTTAGGGGGAATTGCATGCTACTGGATACTGATAAGTAAAGACCTCAACAATGATCTAAATGAGCACCTAAAACCTCGCCTACTGATAACTACGTCTCAGAGGTGAGAATTTTCTAGGAAGCAGTTTTAAAAACTATCATTTAAAGGGTTTAGTAAGTCACAGAGCATGGCCAGTGGTCACTGTAAATTCTATCCGGGGCTGGTGAAGGGAGCCAGGAAGGGTAAAACATTAAATCCATTTTACATATCTAATCATGCTATGTCTTAGAGAAGAAAATTTTAAAAAAAAATATTCTACTGCAATATGTCTATACAGCAATACTGAAAAGGTTGGAGAGAAAACAATTTTTTGGTTGGTGGCCATATACACAACTCCCCTTGAAGTTACACACCGGTTCGAGTGTAGTGTCCTAGAAATGTGGACTTGAGCTATGTTACACACGTATAGCCTCTGTTCTAAAAGAAATATGGGGGAAACAAAGTCAAAAGCCCTCCCACAGATGCACCAATTGGCGACGGGAAAAGAACTGGAAAATGCAGTTTCACCATAGCAGCCAGAGTAGAAGTTCCTTTCATCAAGCTCGAGGAGGGGGTGGGGGCACGCTGCATGGCCAGAAGGTTGTTTCTGGAAGCCAGAGAAAGATTAAAAGGAGGACTCCTACACCCCCATTTTAAGTGTTGCAACTCAGTCGAATTCCGTTTCCCCCTTCAAGTTAATTACCTGAACTCCTTGAGTCACTTGAAGTTCATCTCCGGGTGTCCTGGAGATTAGGCGCCCCAGAAGATGGGGTTTTGGGGGACAATCATTAGTGGGATCTGTTCGCTAGAAGGGCCCAGGGTAAGTGTCTGCCTTTCCTACTTGGCCATCACCCTCTCCTTTGGAAACATTGTTTCCAACAAAATCACCCAACAGGCAGACTCTGTGTGCGTGACTTTGTTCCCTTCCCGTGGCGTGCGCGGGGTGTCGGCCAATTGTCCTTATCTTTGTTGCAAATATTCTTTAAAGAAGCAGTACAAGAAGCGTTCACCTAGGTTTTTGTTGTTGTTGTTTTTTTTTTTTTAAAGCTTTGTCTGGGAAGGAGATTGGCATTTCCACATGAAGTCCTTCTCTCCGGATAAGGGCGCGACACAGAGGGGCGAAATTACCCTGGGAAGAGCATCCTTCCTCCCTGCAGGTTCCCTGTGGATCCGGGCACAGGCATTTCTGTCGCCCGGAGGTCTCTCATTCGTGTGTGTGTGTGTGTGTGTGTGTGTGTGTGTGTGTGTGTGTGTGTAGGGGGGGGGCTGCTGTGAACATATGCAGCCCCCCTCTTGGGGTGCACGGGTCCGGGATGGAGTGGGTGCGACGCGGGAGACACGCCGCCGCCCGCTGCCCCCTGCGCTCGGATGCAGAGGCGGGTTGTCCGTGTGAACTCGAGCGGAGGACTGGAGGCTGCAGGTTCACTCCTTCAGGATGTGGGTTTCAGGGGGCGTTTTTTTTGATGTGATTGAATTCCGACCGTGAAACAATTGCTAGGGGCTGGCTGGCTGGCGGGATGTGCTGTTGGTTTTTTTTCCCCCTTCTTGGTGGCTTTGGCCGGTTGGAGTTTGGTTTGGGAGCAAACGAACAGTGACTTGTTTTATATCAACACTTCCTTCTGCGCGGGGCACCGCCGGCCCGGCTGCACGTGGTGGGGCGAGGCGCCCGCCCACCCGGCGCGAACAGAGGGGAGCGGGGACTGGAGATGCGCCCCCAAGTCTGCGGGGCAAACCGGGCACAGACCCCACTGGGTGCCTGCAGAAGGACTGGGAGAATGACCACACACACACACACACACACACACACACACACACACACACACCTCGCCCCCAGCCTTCTCCCCCTCCTCCCCTTCTCCCCCCCAAACCCCGGGCGATTTTGCTGCCAAGAGGAGTCAGCTTCAGACACTCAAGCCGTCCCTAATTACAGGGAGGAGAGAGAAAGCGCGGTGCCCTCAGAGCCCTCTCCGCCCCCTCAGTGCCCCCCACCCCATCCTCCCCAAGCCCCGAGTCTTCCCCTTTGTGTGGCCTGGACTCGCTCCCAGCGACGACTCTGGTGGGATCCCAAAAGGAAGGGGGTGGCGGGGACCCGCGGAAGAGGATGCTCCAGAGAAGCGAGAGGGAAGGACAAGAAAAAGACGGAGAAGGTGATGACAGAGACGGAACTGCGGCACCTCCGACTTTCCACTCCAGCCTCAGCAGAGCCCCCAAACCGTGCGCCTCCGGCTTAACGGACGGACGTGGGGAAAGGCAGGAGGAGGGAGGGCGAGGGAAGCGGCAGTTTGTGTCCCAGGGGCTCTTCCGCCTCCCCTCGCCCCCTCCTAAGACAAACAAACCCAGCGCCCCGCCCGCCTGGGGAACGGAGGACTCGTGGGACCATACAAACGTCCTCCCCAAATCCGGCCGCCAGCGGACACCCGGCGGGTCCG